GGCTGAGGGGAAATTTTTGGCAAGTGTAGTTTTAAAAATGTATTCACATAAAGGGTTTCAATTGCGTTTTCTAGGACACTGGGTCTCATGAATATGGGTATATAAATGAATAGTTGCTGTTGCCCATAGCAACCAGACTCTCCTTTTAATGTTTCCTGTAACAAAACTAAAAAAGAAATCTGGTCGTTCGCTCCAGGCCAGCAGGACTGCTTGTTCATCAAACACTTTCATAAGTCCTCATTCTTTTTATGCCAAGTCATCAATCAAAAAAATGTCAGTTCATACAGATTTTTTGCATGCACATACATTTTTTTTGTTTGTTTGTTTTCAAAGGTTCTGATAGTGTAACTGCTGAAAAAACTTTACATATGTTTATAACAAGTAAACAAATTGCTCATTTTATTAGCATCGTCTTCAGTTTATCTTTTCATATTCACCCCAAGGCTCTTTTTCACATTTTACTCTAACCCATTACTTTTATATATTTGCCTTTTTATAATTTACGAGTAGCATATGACTACAAATAGGGATGCGCCGATACCGAGTATTTGGGTGAGTACTCGTACTCGCCCAAATGCTCCGATACCTAGCATGAGTACTTCCTGTATCAGGAAGCCGGGCAGTGCATCATTACACGCTGCCCGGTTTCCTGATTGGCCAGGAAACGGCTCCATGCTCTCTCGTCTTCCCGGCTTCCCGATTGGTCAGGAAGCTAGCAAATTCCAAACCCGGGCGCCGTGTAATGACGCAGCGTCCGGCATTCTGATTGGCCGGGAAGCCGGCGTCATGCTCCCTCATCATCTCATGAATCATAATATTAAGAAAGTGACCTTAAAGCATTAGTTTGTATTGCTTTAGAAAAAATTTGACCTGTCCCTTTAAGAAAAAGTATCGGTAATTGGTATCTGCGAGTACTTGATCAAAAGTATCGGTACTCGGTCTTAAAAAAGTGATATCGGTGCATCCCTAACTATAAAGGACCACCTACGGTTCCCATGCACACATCATATTTGTCTATAATCAGCAATAGCAAAACCCAAAAAGAAAAAAACAGTATGCAACTAACCCCATCATCACAGGCAGAGATTCCAGAAAATATCAAATAGTTTGATTTAATTACACTTGGATTTAATATTTCAGGGTTGTATTTATTTTTCTCTGTACATTTAACTGTGAGGCAAAACACACTGTAGATCTGCAGACCACAAGAACTAAATGTAGCTAACATTATAGCATGATTTTATGCTTAAGCAAATCCTGGTAACTGTAATTATAACATTTGCAGCTCAAAAACATTTTGTGATATTCTTAATCGGTTACAGATCATTGGAAGATTTCAAATTGACAAGTGAAAAAAAAAACAGCAGGAAAGAAATATATATGTATACATAACGACACTGGTTCAGCCGTATTTAGACGTTCGGAAAATACCACAGATCCATTGCATGTAACATCAAAAGAGCGACATGAATAGTAATTGTTAGTGTGAAGTGAACATTTAAATTCTATCAAACACTCTTCCTGAGGTTGACCGCAGGGAAAAGCAAGATCTTCGATTCTTTCTGTCCTCTGAAGATCTTGACTTTTTTGATTCTGAAAACTGCTTGCAAATGAAATAACTCTGTGGTATGTTTGAAAAAAATATAAAATAATCCAACTTTTTTTTTTTTAATCTGGCCTTTTTATCCCTGGAGGGAAATAGGGAGCAGGGGGATGAGGATATTGTGTCCAGCAGAACCTACAAGAGGTTTTGGATCAATAGCTGTATCAGCGGGATTCCGCTTAATGAAGGTTTCTTCAAAAGAGCGGCTTTTTTGCTAATAACAGTAGGTATTATGGATGGCCGTGTGGAGCAAAACATCTGTAGGAGAGACAAAATAATTGCTTCGTTTTGCTTTAGAAAGGATTAGGAAGAATTTAAACCCACAGCAAACCGTTTTTACTTTGAGGAAGTTTAAGGACAGCTTTTCCCCCTTCTCCCCCCTCTTCATGTTTGTATTGAGGAAGATAAATCATTAATACCTCACCGCGGGGTGAGGAGTCGTGGTTTGTACTACACAATGGGCTGAAGCTTTGAGGTCAATGATACACAGAGCAGGGAAATGTGTATGACAAGCATGTGCGACACGTGTTTATAGTGTACATACATATGTATGTATAGGGATAATATGTATAACAGACACACGCACAAAAAAAAGACAGGAGTGCATGCTGCGATATCGGCGGCCATTTATCACTCAGCTAACCCTCCGACATCCCTCTATTATTTGAATATAGCCTCATTCACACTGCCGCACATATACGCTCGTATATGCGCGTACGTGCGTATTGTCCCATATGCAGCATATGCAAATAAATGGCTCCATACACACAGCTACATATGGAGCCGTACATTTGCGTAGCATTAAAAATGTGCAAAAACAGAATGGAACCGAGATGTGTCCGGGCAGCGTATTTCTGCGTATTTTACCCGCACAGTTCATTAAAATTTTTATTAAGAATGATGCATTCTGGGATTGCATATAGTGCACGCATATATACAATTTTGCTCTTGCGTTGTGTGTGAATGAGGCCTAAACCTACAGAGGTAACTAGACACAGTGCAAAGAGTATTCAAAAGTAATAATTGCTCACATAAAACAGATTGAAAACGACATATGCATGCATTCACAGCTTATAAACTTATCTGCGTGCAAGCATACATTGTTTCAGCTTTTATAGGTGGGCATGTAAAAAGTGACAAGCAATGTTGCTTTATTTAAAAAAATGGACCCATTATCGATAGTCAAATTCTTAAGACAAAATTACCTTCCCAAGGAAGCTGGGGTAACCAAATATCTTTAGAGGCTGCAAATTATTCATAAATACAGACATAGGTAGCATCATTGAGTTTCATGTATATACTCTTTACCTCTAGCCTGCGCATATATACTATTTTGTGGGTTACAAATATAAAGTCTAGTTCTAGCTAACATTGTGTTGAATAACTTTCCCTGCTTTAAAGGCTTTATCATCATTCTTCCACACAATCCACATTCACACACTTATACAACCACAAAAGACATTAACCTAGGAAATTCATAGTTTATTTATATAATGCAAAACTGTACAGCAGGCTAGGTAACACCTGCTGCACTTTACTTGATACAGGTTAGAAAAATGTTTACAGTATGATTCAATTAAAAGGCCAAACATAAGACTGTACTATGGACAGTTATGATAGCTGGACATTCATTGTACAAAGGAAGAATTGAATGTAATAATTCAGTTCAAATAAATATGTAAGGTGAATAGTGACATTATTACTGTATGTACATACTAATATACACCACTTCACTGTCAGTCTGGGAGAAATGCTGCAGACTCTCTAGAAGTGAAATGGTTAAAAGGTGTTAGAGATATTCCTTCACAAGAAAACACAGAGGGGTAAGAGAAAATAAAATGGAACAGTCTTAAAATGCAGTCTTAATTATACAGGACTGTTTTAACACTAAAGTATGAATAACTAGCAGTTTGCATTTAGGACCATGACCAAATATAATTAAATACAGCAATTGTTGGCTTTACATTTTTTCTCTCAGAAATTCAACATGAAAGAAAAGCTGGATGATGTGCCACCTGCAAATATTAGGAAAATTAATTTTTTATTGCACTTGGATATATAGCTTTGTTTTACATGGAGGTTGAAGGAAGACTACAGTACGAGTCAAAGGGTACCGTAATCAGAAATGCTCAATATTGAGGGCATAAAAAGCAGTGGACAGCCAACAATATGCAGCACTGACTAATGTTAAAAGAAAATAAAAAGAAAAGATTAATCTTTATTAACACTGAGCACTGCAAGGTGAGATTGTACATATATATATTAAAAAAAGGACTTTAAAAATTAGGATTAGCCTCTCTAATTATAGTCTGTTGAAAACAATATGTTCAACAAGTGTCAGCAGCAAATTGTCTATATGTTAATTTAGTGATTTTGTCAGATTATAAACACAGCCAACACCTCTTTGGTTACCTCAGGTTATGAAAAATTAATTATACATTATAACCGTAACACTGAAAAGGGCATAGATTTCACATAACGTCTAGGGAAATAGGCTGAATAATGAATGTTTATGTTCAAAACAGTTAATATAACATAAAAAGGCACTGTGTGAAAAAGGCATACATCATTTTAACCCTTTTGGGTATTCCAGCTCAAAATCTATCAAAAATAAAATATCTTAATAAACTACATGTGGTCTTCTTAAAGTACCAGTACTAGAATTGCATAGCAAAATAAGAGTGTGAACTATTATGTACTAAAGCTCCCAATATTCTTTAAAGAAACTATTTTACTGGCCAAACAAATGACTACATATATTATGTACTGGTAAAATATTCCAGCCAATTGTTGGTTTTGGTCCTATGTGTTATTTTATTAAAATAGAAGCAAATCATTAACAGTCATGAAAGTGAAACGGGTAGCCAGTACACAGAAGCAGAGGCAGGACTTGTCAGCAGGGTGATTGTCTCACATCAGAGATGCTCAATATATAGCATTTGGTTTGTACATAATAAAATTCGTGTCCCAGGAACCTGACTTTGTAAAATAGTTGTTGCTGTAGAATACATCATAAAAGTAATTTATTTTATAAATAAAAACTATATATATATTTGAGAAAAAAAGGCAAAACAAAGCATTACCATGCACTATAGTTAAACTGCACAATGTTCCTCTTTCGTTACCATGAAGAAGCAAACAAGCATCCTGGTAGCAACAGAACTAAAGTTAGAGGCGGTATTGACCAACCTTAGGGTTAACGCGCCAATCCAATTTTCTGTGATGTGCCATGGACTGACTATATTTACATGAAAATTACATTGTACCTTTTCACCACTGTTTATAAAAATACCCTACCAAACTCTTAAGAAGGCACATATTAGATAAACAGGCACAATTTGTATACATTATTATATTTTCTAACCATGTAGGCCCTTTTTTTTTTTTTAAACTATATCTAAAGAGCACAAGACAAATATCAACCATTACTGGAAAATTAATTGTACAGCAATCAGGCTTTATAAGAGTTTAAGGTGCTCACTTATAGTCTATAGTAAAAAATGATGTTGACATAACTCAAACCTGGCTGCAGGATGAGGGCAAAGTCCTGCAGTGCAAATAAAAAATAAATTGGCGCTTTTATTTAAAAATTTCCCAAAAGGTAAAAATGTAAAAAAACTGAAAAACAACCTGCATACCATCCTAGAACTTGTTAGAACAAGGGTTGGAAATGCCTCACAGACCCTTTAAGCAACTATTTAAGCAACTTCTAAAACTTTGCCCTCCTTCAACTGTATGTATGGCCTGAAAATTCTTGAAAATGGAGGACAATGGGTTGGAGAGTCCTGTGCAAACTGTAATCTAGCTGCTGGCGGTCAAGGCTTGCATACGCTTTGCAACCTCATACACATAGGTAACATCTGGTCTCTTCTCTGGGTCCGGATTTATACAAGTGTTCACCACCATACGTAACTTTATGAAGAGAAACAAAAGAGAATTGGTTAGTTACCTAATCACAGAAAATGTATAAAAATCATAATCAAACACAGAGCTATAAGTTATAAAAAGGGGGCCTGGTTTATGAAAACTGGAGGAATAGTGGAGCTGTAATCAATAACAATGAATACAAATCGTTGTTTATCTGCATGATGAGATCCGATTGGTTGCTATGGGCAACATATCCACCACATTTATAAAAATTAGTACTAATTGTTAAACTTGTGTGTGCATTATGTAACATTCCAGTATTTAAAATAAAAAAGAATGTTTTAGCCCTGGAAAAGCAGCACAGATTGTACTTGTTTATGTGTCAGAAATGTCTGCATGTGTCATTTGGTGCTTGTGAATCCAGTAATACCTTTACCATGAAAAGCTAAATCATTTATGCAATAGCAGTGAAGGAGTTAACTTAAGGTAAGTGCTTTTCAGGTTGAAGCTTTTAAAGTAGAAACTGGAAATGTTACAAAAATGTATCCGTCTCTCTAACTGGGAGATCCTCTGTGGGGCAGAGTTTTTTTGATTCATGCCCCTGGGCTGTGACTCCGGATTCACACTTAGCTGCAGAATCGCAGCCCTGCAGGCAGGATCGGCACATCCGCTCCGCTGAGTGGTACCCTCATTATAATCCTACAGCAGGTCGTCATGGCAACTGCCATCCTGGAGCATCCCTGTACCTTCCTAATAAGCTACCATGTGAAATGCAAATGCGGACAGTCTGAAAATTAGTCAAGGAGAATAGGCGATGAGGATGCAGATATGTGAAATATTCATGTGCATACTGGAAGAACAAGAGAGGGGGAGAGTGAGAAGAGGCGAAAGGGAGGGAGGAGACAGTATGAGTGGCAGAACAAAAGGCTGCCCATGACATTCATACTATTATTGTGTATTACTGTATTTGGAAAGAATGGAGCAAGCACTACATGCATGGTCTCCTTACTGAGAGACCACTATCAATCAGCAGATATGAATGTGTCTTTGCACAGAAAACAGTCAAAAACAATGAAACTGCCAGTCAAGATATTAGTAAAAGTGTATAATCACCGTGATTATATAGCATATGGATTTTATTCAATTCTACTCTTATATCAAATTTAAAAATACATAACATTAGTGACAAAGCTGTAAATGTACAAATATGGGAAAACCTAACAGGAAATGCATTACTTGTGGAAACCTGACCCCACATACCTCAAACGTGCCCTAATGAGTAATTTAATAGTTTACGTTTTTTTAAAGATTTTTTGTCTGTACTGCACAGTAACCTATGAATGTGTAAAAAAATAAAAAATAAGGTCTGCACCTTTGGTGTAAGCAAAAGATGCCAAGGTTTCTAAGTGGAATTACATGTGGAACCAAGGCTCCAGGTAAAATAAATTCCCACCATGAATGCTATATGCATGGGATTTGCATGTTTGAGTAGGGTTTTTTTTTTAACCAAACTTTAATAGCCCTACTTTCTTCTAACCAAAATAAATCTTAGCATACAAGTTTATATCTAGGGTAGACAAATTAGTTTGAGTTTCTCTTCTGCTCATTATCTAACACACACTCCAAACGTATATGCAACCATTTGTCTAAGTAACATCAATTCCCTGATTAAGATAAAGCATATAACTTCCATTTATTTATAACTATGCTGTTGATTACTGTAAAGACTGTAACAAATGATACAGCACTGGAAGGCAAACTTGAAAAGTGTGACCCCCTAATTACGTAGAAGTCTGCTTTGTATATTAAAGCTCAACTGAAGTATTACACACAGATAGAGAGATAGAGACTGGTAACACTGCATGTTATGATTTGTGACTGACCTTTGCTTGAAAACAGGATTTTTGTCCAGTAAAATCCTGGGAGTACATACCAAAGCAAGCTGCTGGTGAGCAGCATGGAGGATCGAGTGGCAGGTGAGAATCAGAATGGCGAGCAGAGGATTGGTAAATATTAGGGATGTCCCGATACCGATGCTAGCTTCGGTATCGGGCCCGATACAGGGCATTTTCACAAGTACTTGTGAAAATGCCCCGGTACATAACGCCGATGCTTACACATCGGTGTTGATTTCGTATTCCCCGACGCCCGGAACATATAGTTCCGGGCGCCGGGCAAGCGAGAGCAGGGGGCGTGGAGCCGTGACGGCAGGGGGCGTGGAGCGGTGACAGAGCTGGGCACATGGAGCTGTGACAGGCTCTGTGACCTCCCTCAGCCTCTGTCCCCGGCTCGTTCTTGTCACAGGAGTTCTAGCACAGTGCTGTGTTGTGCTAGAACTCCTGTGTTGGAGGTGACCAGGCCAATAAAGAGTACCTGTCCCCTCCAAATGCTATCACAGGGTTTTGTTAGCCCATGTGTGATAGCAATAAAGTTAAGTGAAAAAATAACAACAACTGATTAAAAATTTAAGTAAATTAAAAAAAAAGACAAAGTAAAAATAATAAAATAAATTAAAAATGTTTACACAGTAAATAAAATTGAAAAAAATGAAAACCAGCCCGGCTGCCTCCCTCT